CGAACAGTAACATGTACCGAATAGAGCGTACCACACGTCCATATTCTGATAACCGTGGTAGCATAAAGACAGTGCAGCACATACTACTAGAATGACCCACGTACCGTGCACGATGAGAGGCAACTGTTAAACAAGAAACGGACATAATCTTCCACGAACAATTAACGTTGCGCAACATATTAAGCCCTGTGAGCGGACCTTCAAAACGATGTCGAGTCGTACTGCCATTTATCAATTACCTATCCGATCTTCTCCTTGTCGGAAGGCTCCAATAAAACATCTCACATACGAAAGCCTTGATTTACCTGATGGCCTTACGTAAATAGCTTTATCAGGTTCACTTGGTCAACTTATTTTCATACCTTTATTTTCTCTCTACTAAACTCTTTCAGTCCCCTTCCCCAACCCAATACAGAGTAGCATGCCAGCGATATATAGACGCCAGAAAAAATCTCTGTTTTTCCTCTCTCTTCTGTATCGCGTTGCGTGCATCGTGGCGTGTCACTTCCACGTTTTCTGCTTACATGTGAAAAACGTTGAGAACTATCATTCCAGACAAACTCAAAAGCTATTTCAGACATAGTTTTAGACAGTAAAGTCAATAGATTTTAGCACTTTGAAAGTACCCTCAACACAGAGTAATTCTGCGTATACATTTATAAAAAAGATCTGTAAGTATATGGCATCGAGTGAACGCAGTCCCAGCAACGTAATGGGACTTCAGAACCGTTAATGCTAAAATTAAACCGAGTGACAGTAACAAGCAGCGATGGATAAAAATTATTGTAAGCAGGCAAAGTTGAGCGGCCATGTGATTTGTTTTGTTTAGACACTCTGTTAGCGAAATAAATAGCACCGTGGCTGTAAAGAGCGCCGCCTGAAAAAAGCGTTTCAGCTCGAAGGGCCCGACATAAAAGGGGTGATAGTAAAAGTGAGAATCAAGCTCTATCGGGTGACCGGTCAAATTCCGATCACGCCCAGAGCGTATATGCTACGGCACAAACGTTCTTTTCTATATACGTCGTACGCTCGGCCCGTCGCTGTCAGAAGAGCTGTCGTGTATGGGGCAAAATCCCAACAGAGCGCAGCGTAGCGCAGACAGAAAGAACGCAGCCGCTTTTCATTAGCTCCGTGTCTGCGGCCGGGCCAGTGGCAGATGGAGCCCGTATTCGGTCCGTGGTTCCTGGGGCAGAGAAGTCTCTCTCCCCCTCAGCATTGAACCGGACGCACTTGCGCCCTTTCTCTCTTTCTTTTCTTCCAATGTATTGCTGCTCCATTCACCCCGCGTGCCCTTTCCTCCTATAGGGTTTGGAGAGGAGGAACCGCTCGGCCATTTCCAGCAGAACTTCATTACCATGACACTGTGTGCTTTTGCCTCCTATATAGACCTACTACTTCTTTCCGATTGCACAATTCGTCAAAGAAGAAAACCTGGGAAGAAATACGCAGAGCTGTATCTACTGCTCACATGCGGCAACCTCATCCCTTCTTCTCGAGCCCCAGGAAGAGGTCTTCGTGGTCTCTTCTTCGTCTAACTCCCTCGTGGCTTACTTCACCACCGCGCAACCGTTGTCGTGAAAAAAAAAAAAAAAAAAAAAAACCCGTTACTCGGCGTTCGCTCTCGGCATCTTGTCGGGGCTATCTGTGGAGCTACAGCGCATCTCATTCGAAAGTACAGCGCAATCTATTGACGTCCGGTTCCTGAGCACGCACATGACTGCTGGTTATGTGGCTATATACTTGTCTTGGGACAGTAGCAAATCGTAAAGATGGCGAGAAAACAAAAAAAAAAAACAGAACCTTCGTTTTTTTTTCCATGAAGGCAGTTAAAAATAAAGGTGTGCAGGTGCCAATTACTCTTTAGTGTTTGCCTGACAAGGCCATGAGGGGAATGCTTGTCGCATTACTGCAAACAAGTTGTATTAGATTTGTCGCTGTAACAGCAACCATTATTTCGACGACGCCTGTGAGAAAGAAATACAACAAGCACTGTTGAACTAGCTGATACCCAGAAGTATATTACAGCTCAGGGCTTTTAACCTATGTTCACTATGGGCCTGTCCAATTTGGCGTCTCTATTAAACAACTTTGGTAGCGCCCCAATGTCATTTTCTTCAGGTAGTTTGAGCTGTACAGTTAATATCTCTCGTTGGGGTAAATATTGTTTCCCTGGCAGGAATTTTTCCGCTCTTTGAAATCAAACGTAACCACATCAATTTTGCACACTTCGGACGGCAAGTAACAGCGGTATTCAGCGCTATGGTTTGTGTTTACTTTACCGTCTCTGTTTTTGTCACGCTATTATTCGTTTAAGATGGCTGTAATAATGCTTGGAATGGCTACCTGCTGACCTGATGCTACCTGACCACAAATGCTTACCTGCTCCATTTAAGTGCTGAAATTGTCGCAGTGAATTGCCTCCTCACGTTGTGCCGTTGTGTGCTTCGAAGGTACTTCTGTAGTGCGCAAATCGCGTTCATATCCTGAAAGCGGGAACCACAGACTGGTATAATAGGTTGACGGTTCACTAGCCACTCTGCGCGGAGAAAACAAAAGTTGTGCACTTGTGTTTATATAGACTTAGACACGTGCGTACATCACGCGATTTTGGGGGAACTAACCTTGTGCCACTTTGACACTTTTTCAATAGGACACTGCTCCTAACTCGTAAAGCTAATCCTATACAATTAGTGTACTAGTGTAGCTTAGATATTGAAGAAAACATTCGTGTTCGAAAAGTTTGTTACCCAACGGCCGAAAAACAATGCATGATAACCGAAGAGGTTTACCAAAAACATTCGGAAGCGTGGGAATACTTCTTGTGATCCCGGCTGCGGCCGCTTCATTTCCGGGGATGCGAAATGCTCGAAACCCACTGGCTCAAATTTAGGCTACGCCTCAGGTGTTTGTGATTGCGGGAGCCCTCACCTCAGCGTCTCTGATAGCCATATTGAGATATGGCACGTAGAATGCCAGAAATTCTTATTATCCTTATAACTAGTAGTAGAGCTAGTTGGTGTTTCATGACCGTAGAACGAAGTGTGTAAATTGTAATAAACATGCATGAATTGAGAAGAGTGCTCATCACGTCTCCTAGTGTTTGTTCTCAATTAAATTCCGTGCTCCCTATCTATCCTGACAGCGCAATTCGTGCTTATGCGTCTACAAAACTTAGTGCAACTGTTTAGACTATTTAAGTAAGAAATCGCGGGTAAGGAGCTCGCAGGGATGAGCATGCATGAGTTAAATGGAAGAAGGAATCGTATCTTTCTGTCCTACGCCTCGCCCGGGTAAACACTGTGTGGCTCTTTGCGGGGGGTCAGGCAGGAGAGAAGCATATGAATTTCCGCGAAAAGGGGACAACTACCATTTGCCACATGCCCGCGATGCCTATTATAAAATTTTAATTCTTTCCTTCCTATATCATCACTGCCGAAAGCAGCCTCAACAGTTTGTGCGACGCCACTAGTTTGTAATACGTTGCGAATATAAAACTACACACAAGAAAAATTGTCAGGGCTGTTCCGCAGCTATTTCTCCCCCTCCCCTATTATAGCATTGAGTAAAACACAACTAGGAATGGGTGTTACTGAAGATCTTCTGGGACCCATAACGAAGCGTTGATAACCCACACGTGTGACGCAGGACTAGAGATTTCACCGGATCAGTATAAATACAGATCTACGTAGCGTTTTAGGAGCCCCGGGATTATCTTGACGGTGAGATTTTCGTTTCCTGCTGAGGAGACCAACATTTCTCGTTGGAGTCGAGGAGTTTTTCTCGATCTTTGACCTTACTGGCAGGTTAAAGCAGCACTTTATTGCTTGAAAAAGAGAAGGGAGATTTTTCATAGAAATACACTTTTATGAGGTAGTTATGCGCATATGTACTCAGCGGAAAAGTAAATCAGCTCTTACGCTACTGCTAAGATGAGGGAAATTTATGCTTGGCGTGCGTGCCCAAGACTACTTTTCTCTCTTTCTCTCTTTCTTTTGTCTATTTAGTTTTTTT